TAGTAGAGGGGGCTGGTCCCAAACCTGCCCACACAAATAACACCGCATGAGACCAGAAGATATGGCAGGATGTACAGAATACCCCCGTTGAAAAGCAGAGGTGCAATATGTACTCTGAGAGAGAACTCTATCATCATCAAAGGCCCAAGACTGTTCAACATGCTTCCACTACACATAAGGGGCATAACTGCCCGACTCAGTTAAGTATGCCCGAGTCATAAGAGTTCAAGAGAGAACTTGATGAGCACCTCCAAAGGATACCTGATAAACCAGGCTGTGACTCATACATCAGGCTGCGAGCAGAGACATCCATCAGCCTGGTTGACCAGTCCATTAACGAGGAGGCCTGATTGAGGACTAGGCCTCGGGGACGCTAAACCCCGAAATCATCTCGAGGTACCTCAAGGTAAGGTATGCAGGTCATGCTGGAGAACAAGGAAAATTGGACATTATCACTGCACTTTGGGAGCTAGGCAAACTAGCTACCTCTTTGAAGAAATCAGACTTCATTCTGATTTCAAAGCCAAAAGAACCTGTCAATTACAAGCCCATTTCATTAACATCATGCATTAGTAAAACTACAGAACGGATGGTCTTAAATAGGCTCCTGTGAAAGACTGGAAGCCTGCACAAGCACACATTTGGCTTCACTAGGGGAGTAGGATCTGCCAACTACATAGCAACATTACTAGGAACAGTTAACTCAGGTCGGGCTATAGTGATCTTCCTTCATCTAGAAAAAGCATTCAAACTTGCAAGCCCGCAAGCAATTTTCACACATTAATAAGAAAGGTGTTAAGGGATAAATGCTAGCATGGATTCAAGATTACCTTTGGCACAGGTATGCCAAAGTAAATCTGCAAGGGCAAGTGTCAAACTACCACTTGCATGAGAATGAGACTCTACAAGGAGTCGTCCTCAATTCTAGTCTTTTTTAACATCTTTATGGAAAACCTCGTTTCCATGACATTTGCATGACACTCTTCCTCCTGGCCAGGGGGCAAAGGTTGAAGTTATTCAAAATGATGCAAGGCGAGTCATAATAGGGGCTCTCAGATGGACTAAAATACTGAATCTAAGACTAGAAACCAAAGTAACGTGTTAAAAATAATGGTAAAAGGGATTGCTGCCTGCATGCTAACCAAGATATTGACTAGACCACGAATCATTCACTTAAAAGATACAATATCTGGTGCACTAGCTCGAGACAGAAGTGCTTCCAACAAATGGGCCCATTGTGCAATAAACACTTATCAAGTTCACAAATTACATTCTAGATCACAAAAACAATCACCGAGAAGGGTGTTAACGAAATACATGCAGACTTCGTTATGCAAGCCCCTTGGGAATCTCTGCCAACAGACTAAGATTATGGCTCTTGAAGGAAAAAAGAACCAGACTAATCCTAATCTGCTAAGTAAAATTGCACACATGCATATAGAAGCAAACTTGGCATCTGACAGCTTCACATACTTCACAGATGGATCAGTAGACCAGCAGGGACAAGAATCAGGAGTTTCAATTAAAGCGGGAAATTCTGTAGTTATTTGGAGACTCTCAAACGGGTGTTCAACTTTACAGAGATGCTAGCCATTCAATATGGCTTTGGAACATGCTCTTGCTGAACACCGACATGTTATCATACATACATATTCAAGAGCTGCCATTGAAACCTCGCAACAAGAACACATACCTGACAACATCCATCTGATCACTAATAATAATTTACCGTGTCAGAAACAGGAAGCCAGGTTATACATACAGTACATACTAGGCTTATATCAAGTTCCCCCCTTCTCCACCAGGTTGAATAATTGACCCACCCCAGGATGCAACCCCCACAAGCTGACTTGGTAATTTACCAATACATAGGTACCTGTGTACCTATTTACTGCTAGCTGGACAGGGGTATGAGGTGAAATTAAATGCACCCAACCAAATGCACGCAACTGTGACGTCTGGGATTCGAACCCGGAATTCTTGATTTTGAGTCAAGAACGAACCAGACTGTACTACCAGGACCCTAATAATGTCATGACATTAATGCAAACACTCAGACTCAGGTTCTTGGATACTTATCAACTGGGTGACAAGCCATGTAGGAATAAATAATAATGACAATGCAGATGAAGCTGCAAAACTTGCAACTAAGAGAAGAAATTAGACATTTACATACACAGAGTCTATCACAGATTAAGCAAGTAATTAGAAGTAGAGCAATGAAGAAGATATATAGTGACCACAACACAGCAACTACATCAGGATCTGCGGGTTGGTACACAAATTCAACCATCTATGAACCACTCATTTTGATGAATGGAGCAGGAGAAAAACAGAAGTGCACTTGCATTGCATCAGGCTTGGATACCCATGTGCATGTGGGAAATAGGCTTACAGGTTCCAGAAGACGAGAGGAAATGTCAACACTGGAGAAATGCTCGACAGATGACTCGAACATTATCTAACACAGTGCAGTTACAAAACAAATAAGATTTCAACTACGATTCTACAGAGCAGTAGTTGTTAAACACATTGGGCATAATCTTACTGGTTATCTTGGAGATTATTTCAGGGTTTAGCACCCCGTGGCCCGGTCCTCGACCAGGCCTCCAATTTTGTTACACATCCCCAGGAAGCAGCCTGTAGCAGCTGTCTAACTCCTAGGTACATATTTACTGCTAGGTGAACAGAGGCATCAGGGTAAAAGAAACTCTGCCCATTTGTTTCCGCCTCCACTGGGGATCAAACTCAAAACCTTATGACTACGAATCCCAAGCGCTGTCCAGTCAGCCGTCAGGCGCCCCCTGATTGAACATACGAACATACCTACTGAAGCGAATATAAGAGTCATAAACACTGCCAAAGTCAGACAGAAACCATTAACACATAGTGGATCAGCCAGAGGCTTAGGACCTGAACAAGAATATCCCTGAAGAAAAAAAAACACAAGGGAGGGGTCAAATGAACGTATCAGACTGCAAGATAGAATGGCCTTGGGTCTTGAGGATATATTTAATATCCTCGTGGGAGTCTTTCATGTCCATATCACCAGTCACAACATGGTGCGGGAAAATAACTGTGCCAATGCTGACATTTAACCGGGCATTTCTGGAGACCCAGCCAGACTGGGCGGGGTTAAAAGTGACATAGGTGTCCCCTGTATCAACTGGGTGTTTTATGGATGTGTAAATTATCAGGAACTGTGTGACCATCGTGACAAAAGATCAAAATGCTTAGCGCACTTAGCAGGACAGGGCACAGTTACAAACCCAATAAGATTTCAACTTTGATTCAACAGAGCAGAAGTTATTAAACACATTGGACAAAATCTTACTGAAGCAACCATACGAGTCATAAATACTCATACTCTGCCTAAGTAAAACAGAAACAAGCAACACTTAGTGCGCCAGCTAGAGGCTTAGGGCCCACACAAATTTCCCTGCAAAATAAATCCTGGAATTTAGATGAGTGTGTTCATCTACACATCATCTTTAGTTCATTAGTTTCGTTCATCATCTTTATACGAGTTCAGGAATCATGCGTTCGAGTGGGGGGGGGGGAAGGGGTTATGGAGCTGAGCCCCCCAAGTGAAGAGGGGGTTAAAAGGCACAATTGTCACAATGAGAACGAAGTCACTTCAGGTGACGAGGAGGTCACCACTGGGGGCTTGGGACTCGATCCAGCCACTGAAGTGGGAGGGGAACAGAGAGAGTCAGTTGGGAGAGTCAAAGCAGCAGCTTGGTCTGGGCCAAATGTAGTCCACCTTCCATCACTGGCTAACTCAGCAGCCTGGTCATGAGTTAGATCCTCTCTTAGAGAAGTCAGTTCAGTGTCCATACAGCATTAATTTCAAAAGTCTCGGTCTTGGAGCCACGGGACACCACCTACGAGGGCAGCCAGGGAGGGCAAGCACTGGCCAGTACAGGAAGGGGTACAGTGTCCCAAGCTGTGCTCTCCCGAAACGGAAGTCCAACTGCATCGTATATTCTTCCATACTGGTGCAAAGATCTCCTTTTTGCCCCAGCCTGGGCACCAAAAGCATCCACCAAGGCAGCCCCTCACAGGTGACCTTTTCAGTGGGGAATCCGTTGAACTGAACAAGATTTCTACAGGCGTGTACCTTTGCATGTACAATCCCTGGAGAGGAGGCCAAAGTACTGTAATCCCCATTGGCCCCAGGATGTCATATGTGAATTACCTCACCATGACAAGGGGACAATCTGGAGGGAGATGTATTCTCTAAGATGGTTTTCTTTCTGGCTTTCCACAAAGGAACACATTTCAGACAGACTTTATATGCTTTGGCAGTCAGTTGTTTCAACTGGGTCATAACATAACTTTTCCTTGCATGGTATTTTTATTTTTAGAAGTTTTCCATTGAATGCTGGCAAGTTTCTTGTTTGTTTTTTTCCATTCTGTCCTTTAAGCATTAAAGCTAAACTTATTGAACAACCCATCTCAATTTTTATCTTTTTTTTTAGATTTATTACAAGTAATAATGTTAGTTTGCACTTCAGTGAGCTTGTGATCTGAAAATGTGGACATCTGAGATTGTCCTTGGCAATCGTGAAGGCATGTCAATGACATGCCTTCATGTCATTGTCTATGTCTTCACACTGTTTGGCTAGTGTCTAGCCCCACACTCTTCTCCCAACTCCTACCTCTCCTCATCTAAATTGAATTTTCTCCAGCTGCCATAGCTCCACATTCTGGCACTCATCCTCCCAACTCTGCCACCATTTTCCCCATTTTCACCCCTATTGGATACCCTCCTTTTGCCCACATCCCTTTAAACAGTACCCTCTTCCCACATCACCTGCCTTTTCCTGGTGCAGTGCCTCTGCATCGATGGTGGGTTTTGCAGTAAACATGTTTACAATTATTCTATGCCCGTAGTTAATGTACAGTACTGTATATTAGTTACTGTATGCCTACAGTAAGTATTCATTAGAAAAAAAATGTGGCACAAGTGTAAACTTATTGTAAATTTCTACCGGCAGGAGCATACGGAATGCGGCGATACCGGTACTTGGGTCAACATTCCGAGGGCAACCGCTTCATCAGAAATGAGGCACTCTGAATATTCCTTCACTAGACGGTCATCGTGTCGCCTTTAACAAGAAAATGAAGGATGACCTATAATCCTAGTAACATTTTTGTATCATGCTACCCTCGCACTGCACACCTTTTATAATGACATTCCCGTGGTGCGCCGAAAATAAATTGTTCCAAAAACATAATTTTTAATTTTGATATTGTTAATTAGCATCTAGGAAGCACAAACATCCAAGTAAAATGTCTCTACCTCTTGTAGTTTAGCTGTAGTAGCCTGGATAAATTGCACTTTTTTTTTTTTTTTTTTTTTGTCAAAATGAGGCGAGTTGCCGCATGGAAATAACTTTGTCAATTTATTTTCAATGTTTCTCACATAGTTTTTTTCACAAACATTCAACATTCATAACATTCTAACAATCATTGGTTATTTAATTTCAACAATAGGAGGATCGACTGGGAAAAAATATAGCCCTTGCAAACACTTAATAGGAAACGGTCTTAAGCGACAAAACTCCCACACAGGGAAAAGGCCAACTGACAGCTGAAGCTTACATGATCTGTTTGAAGCATGTGCCTGTAAGAAGGGTCAGCAAGAGGACCACTCTAAGAAAGAGAACGCAGACAACTCTACATTAGGGGAAAAAATCACGGAAATACTTAACACTTTCGCTGCCTATATGCCACATATTGTCATAAAACCAAAATACTGAGTATGCTGCATGATGCAAACGGTGTCATGCCAAAATTTTTGCCATTGCTTATTAATTAAGTATAAACATTGTGGGTGAGTGAGTTTAATACTGGGTTGTGTGCTGACTGGGAATGCTCAGCCTACCTTCCAGTGCAATTTGGGTGCCCCACCGGGCCCACGAAAGTGTCAAGACAGACACGATTATCACAAGAAAAAAGAAATTTAAACAGGGAGAACGAAGAATTAGAGCAGATGCTGAAGCGATCATATGAGTTTGAGGAAATGAAATTGGAACATACAAGAGAAGGAAAAATCCAAAATATTTTTTTACATATGCAAAATCAAAATCAAAAACCCTCCATTAGTATTGGACCTTTACTTTCAACTGAAGGTTTGTACACACAGGACAACAAAGAAAGTACTGTAGTGAAATTCTAAAATGCCAGTATGAGGTTTAGCACCCCAATAAACAACCTGAAAGTTGAGGATTCAGACAGTCTTTATGAATGACATCCAAGCTGCAGATAATATAACCGATATTAACATTAACTCGGAAAACTTTGAAAAAAAATTAACATGCCCATGCACTCAGCCGCTGAATCCTGACTTGTGGAGTTCAGTACAATATTCAGAGAAATGTAAAGTACCAGTAGCATGAGCACTCAGTGTAATATGAAGAAAATACAGGGGAGATACCAGCAGCACTTAAATCAGCAGATATAGCTCCTTTGTGCAAGGGACGTAGTAAAGCTCTGGCAAAAAATTATAGACCAGTTACATTAACATCATATGTAATAAGTCTTTGAAAGTGATTAGGAATAAAATTTCCAGTTTTATGGAAAATAATGAACTTCACAACCCAGGACAACAAGGATTTAGTGGGAAGATCCTGTCTGTCAGTTACTCAACCATTATGACAGAATCACAGAAGCCTTAGAGGAAAAGCAAAATGCAGATGTTGTATGTACAGACTTTGCAAAGGCTTTCGATAAATGTGACCATGGAGTAATAGCCCATAAAATTAGATCAATAGGAATAATGGGCAAAGTGGGGCGTTGGATTTTAACTTTTTGTCAAACAGAATACAGAGTAACAGTCAATCAAGTAGCATCAAGCCCAATTGCAGTGAAAAGCTCAATACTGCAGGGGACAGTCTTGGCACCACTGCTATTTCTCATTCTTATCTCTGATATAGACAAAAATACTAGTCACAGCCTTGTGTCATCCTTTGCAGATACAAAATCAGCATGAAAATTGCCACTGTAGAATACACTGAAAAAACTACAAACTAAACTAAATAGTCTTCAATTGGGCAACTGAAAAATAGCATGATGTTTAACAGTGATAAGTTCTAGATACTTGGGTATGGGTGGAAACGAGGAACTTGAATGAAACACAGGGTACAGGACACAATCAGACCTACTCATAGATGGAAGGTAACAGGTAAAAGACCTGGGAATTATGATGTCTGGCATACCAGGACCCGGATTCATGAAGCAGTTATGTAAGCGCTTGCGAACATGTACATCCTTTCTCAATCTTTGGCGGCTTTGTTTAAAATTATTAAACAGTTAATGAGCTCCGAAACACCAGGAGGCTGTTTATAACAATAACAACAGTTGATTGGGAAGTTTTCATGCTTGTAAACTTTAATAAATGTAAAAAAGCTGTCAAAGATTGAGGAGAGATGTCCACGTTAGTAAGTACATGTACTGTACTTGCATAACTACTTTATGAATCTGGGTCCTAACATTTATTAAACATAACCGAGCAAATATAGCGGCGGCCAGGAAAATGATAGGATGGATTTGAGAACATTCAAATCCAGAGACCCACAGCAATGCTGATTAAATTACTAGTGCTGTCCTGCCTTGAGTATTGCTTGGTACTCATTTCCTCTTTCAGAACAGGAGAGCTCTCCAAATTAGAGGGAATCGAGAGAACATATATGGCAAGAACAGAAAAGATTAAGCATCTAAATTACTAGGACCATCTTAAAGCTCATAATATGTACTCTCTGGAAAGGAGACGAGAAAGTTATCAAATTATACATGGAAGATACTTAAAGGCCAGGTCCCAATTTTGCAGTGAAACAACAACATACTGTTGCAAAAGATACGGAAGGAAATGCAGAATAGAACCATTGAGTAGAGGTGCCATAGGCACCATCAAAGAACACTGTCTGAACATCAGAGGTCCACAGCTGTTCAATACTCTCCCAGCAAGCATTAGAAATATTGTCGGAACAAAGGTAGATGTATTCAAGAGGCACTTTGACAGGTTCTTGCAAGAAATGCCAGACCAACCAGGCTGTAGTGGATATGGTTGCTCAAAGCAACAGCCTGTTGGATCAAGTTATCACAAGTTGAGCCTGGCTTCGGGCCGGGCTCAGGGAGCAGAAGAACTCCCGAAACCCTCTTCAGGTATGCTCTAGGTAACAAGTTGTATCTATGCTTCAAAGATGGTGTTCATTATATATCTGAAAATATATATTTATATGTGTATAAATATATGCACACCATTGGACATGGCACACATTTTGCCTGAAATATATAATGATAATCACTCACAAGCCACTTTTAAAATTTCAGTGGCTCATAGTATGGCTACCCTGTACGTTCCTAAGGCCTTAGGAACGTTAGGTAGGCCTTAGTAATGTGGGCCACATTACTAAGGTTATGGAAGGAAAGTGAGGGACTCTTGTATTGTTGTTAAAGATGGGGGGACGGTTACTGGAGGCCTGAGGAAGCAAACTTGAGCCCTTTGTATGCCTGGAGGTTTTGAATCTTATGATATACTAACCATCACATGTTGGCTGGTGCACCACCACACCCCTTAATGTGTGGGGTTGTGCAGTGCAGGTGTTAATGACAGTGCTCCTCACTTTAAAATATATACATTTTCTGTAGAAATAGCTTTTTTTTTTTTTTTTTTTTTTAAGAATTATCTATGGCTTTGTTTTAAAATACATTCAAGCTAGTTTTATCAAATTTTATTATTATTTTGTGATTTGCATATGTATATGAAATGGGAAAAGGCTTTCATGTATATGTAATATCAAAGGCAGAGAACTTAACCATAAAACAGATAAGATTCTTGCAGCATAAACAATGAAACTGTCTACTTGCACATTCCCCTGGTGGTTGGTGGTTTAACAATGTCACTAACATGGATACCACAAGTTTTTCATTTAACAAAATGATATTTCAACTTCTAGAATGTAACTTTTGTAATTTAAGTCCATTTTTAGCTTCTGAATGCCTAGTTTGAATTATGTTTTAGAATACAGATTCATTGTGTATAATACCTTCAGCAGTTTACCCCTGGCAAACTGCTGAAGATATTTAAGTTCACAAAATACTAAAGTATGGAGTACGTATCAAACCACAGTATTGCGGTTATATTATGAATTGTTCAATTGGGCACAAATTATCTCCCTGTGGATCTTGATAATATTAAACTGCAGTGCACAGCAAAATATATAAACTTGATTGACTGTATATACCTGGTCAAAACCTAGGAAACCATTCATTTAACCAGAAAAAATATAATGAAACCTATTCTCAGTTTCTACATTATTGAAGGTTAATGGACAACAATTCCATTCCGTGTTGTGTTATTAATAGCATAATATCCTTTGATCTTTTATACTAAGCATTTTACATACCTGTACTGTATATCTTTAAAGGTGGTATGGTAATAGTTATGGCCTTGGTATCATTTTCAGTAGGTGTTAACAATTATTTGGAAAGAAATATTCATATGTCAAGTACACTATTTATATTTTTAGATAATAAAAATACAACATTATTATGTTTCACCAAACCTCAAAATACATTTGCAGTGTCTTAAATGTTTTAGCTTCCTCCTTTTTCTACTGAAACATTTCTTTTTTTTTGATTGACCTTCCTCTTCACGATAACCTTCCCTCCTCTTGTTTAACTTTCCCTCTCTTGGTTCTTTTGACCCTTAACTTTCATCTTCTATTTGTAGGTGTCAAGCCAGCACACTTGACAATGGGACGCGCGCATGTGCTAAAAGTACTGTAAAACGTGAATTGCGTGTGGCCTCAAACTTGAGAGTTCTCATCAATTTGAAGTTTCTACATATTGTCTGGCAATAAATGCAAAGCAAATCCAATGTGAAAATACCGAAATATCTCAAATGGCAATTAAGAAAGTAAAAACATTTTAGTTCCCAAACAAAATCCAAGAAAGTTAAGTAAAACTAACCATTAATAAATTACAGAAATAAATAAGTGCCGTGTTGTGTGCCATTATGACTGACCGCAGTCTTTGGCAATATATACAGAATAGTTTTTACTGGCATACCCATAACATCGTACTAATGACAAGCATTCCAGCCTTCCAGGTACTCAAACAAGCATGCTAGGTCACCCTATCCAGGTGCTTTAACCCACTGGACCAAAATATGCTATTAGTAATTTAACCTGGAAGCTTGCTGAATTCAGTGAAGTAATTATCGATAGAAGGCACCAAACCGGGAAGGCTATGTAGCACCAAATGAAGTCTTGATGCACTGAGCTGATGTCAAATTTGCTTTTACGAATTACCCCGCACACACACTGGTGTGGGTATAGGAGGATCTGGGACAGGGCAGAGGGAAGAACGGTGCCCAACCACTTGGACCATCGGGGATTGAGCACTGAGCTGCAAGAAGCGAGGCCTCTGCTGTTTGACTGGTTGGGTTAACAGATACAAGTGCAATGCAGAGAGCAGAGCACACATGACAAGCCTTTGCCCTTCTCATTAATGCAAGCAACGTTACAAATTAGCACATCCAATTTACTATATTGTATGCTTGATTGCAAGAAATTATTGTAAAGCTAGAAAATAGAACAAACAGCTCAGTTGTGACCAATTTTGTCAGCCAAAGCAATCACTTTGATTTGCAAGCTACTATGACATGCATTTACCAAACACACTGAAGTCAGAAAAAGCAGTGCATTGCAAACCATGGTAAAACTTGCCTGTAGAACAGCAATTCAGGACACACAAGCTTTTTGTTTTTCTCTTCCCTAATGCCTTTAGTTACACAAACGTAGCTGCCTCTTTGCTAAGTACAGTATTGCGAATGCCTTCAACCTTCAGTCATGGGAGTGTTAGGATTACTGCCGTTTACGTGATCTGTAAAACACATTGCATAAACATTACAACTCATTGTTAATCTTTATTATTGTTTCACTGCTGTTCTCGGGAATGAATATGGATTTACATTAATCTACAATATCTACAACTGCCATGGCTAGTTGTAACTCTCGCTAGCATTCCAATTCACTTCCCACTGTACTCAAATTGTATCTATAAATCAAAATTATAGGGTATATTACCAGCCCATTCTAATTGCCACAAAATGGTGTACTAAAATGATTGAACCTGACCATCATAGAAATTGTGATCATGCATAGAAATTGTGCATGCAAGAGCTGCTATGATTTATAGTACCCACTATTTGTCTGTTTAGGATTTTAAAGTCAAAATGTGGTGTACTATACAAGAGGATGAGTCCAAAGTAGAGTACTCTATGGGTTTAGAAACCTAAACAATTAGTTTTGCCTTGTAGCCATTAACACTTATACAAGATCTGCACCTTAAGAGAAACATTTGAATAATTAAACATACCTTTGGAGATCCATCCAAATCACAAATACTAGTCAATTGAGGCATCATCACGGTGAACACTGGTTAAGTTAACAATGTCACTTTCATAGGCTAGAACAAAGGATCAATTACTGCATCATATGTTTATCAAGCTACACTAAATTCAATCAATAAACCCAAACTATCTTAAATTATCAAAAGACACTAAGCTATGTAAATTACCAGTTAATTTCAAGACTTACTTTTGCAGCCTTTCCTGGGGACTGTGCGCGAGGCCCATCTGTCTCCATAACCCACAGGATCAAAGTTATCACAGTTATGCTATTCCAGTAACCTTAATTTTCTATTATTTTATTGTTGCAGGACACTGAAATCATGAGCAATGATGTTTACATTTAATTGTGCTTAATGGCACCCCTGACTTTACATTGGCCTGGTTTTGCATTTCCTACCCCCATCTCCCTCCAGTATGTTGTAATTTTATTGTGCAATTTGGAGACCATTCCTTCCCCTATCTTTCTTTCATATATCGAGATTTCTTCATTCAAAATGTAACTTGCCATGTAGATAATCCCACTATTGTGCAACTGGAAACACTATCCATAAAAATTTGCAATACTACATATACACAAAGCTGGATTCAAAACAAATTCACACTGCTTGAGAAAGGGGGAAAAAGGTTCAGAAATTTCCATTTGGACTTTTTGTAACTGGAAATAAAAATAAAACAAGGTATTACAAAAATATTTATCTTTTTATTTCATTTTGTTGTGGAGAGGCTAGACCACTTGAGTGTATGACACAATCAACTACATTTTTTATTTTTGGCTCTTTGGGTTGTTGTCAAATGCCCGAGGCTTTGATAAATCCTTCAAAATAACTTACACCTGTACATTGTACACTCTATGTACATTAAAAATATAATATAAATGACACGAGTGCCACAACTACACTGAGAACACAAATCCTCTTTCCACAGTCCAAACATTAAAATTTCCCCATACCATCTGCGTGTCTGAAGATTAATAAGTACCAACACATACCTGAGTGACAATTAGTGAAATTCAATCCATAAATCCCGTTTTCCCCAGTCTAACTGCACGACCAAAACCAATGATCAAACACACTACTACACATCTAGGAAATATGTAGGTTTTGCAGTTGTATAGACAACAAAATACACAGGTTGGTACATAACTAACACCATTCAAAACGGGATTTAAAAACAAAAAATAATAATGTTGGGACTGAGGATTTAAAGCTGTAGTTTGGCTAGGGGCACAAAACTAAATCCCCACTGGTCCAGTAGCACAGAAATCAAGCTTCATCCAATGATGATGATTATACCTAGTGACTGTTCAGGTGGTGGCACTACTCATTGGGCTCAAAATGCTGTTGGTTTCATAATAGCTTACAAATGAATTAAAGTAATGTTAGCACTTTTCAAGGAAACTGGAATTTACAAACATAATATGCTGTTTATATAATCAAAGAATACATTTCATTATCAACATACAGTACACATTTATATCATTAAATAAATACAATCCATAAAGGATAAAAAACAATTATATGCACTCGGCTCCATGCCCGGAGCCCAGCACCAATAAACTTCTGACACGTCTATAATTACTGGCAGGTACAATATTTTATAAGAAAGGGGTCTTGCTGCATTGATAATATACAACATCCCCAAATAATACATACTCAAAGTATTTTTTTTAATATCAACAGCACTGATGCTGGTGCATTAGGGTGGGGTGGGGATGAGCCACCTCCGCGACTCGTCGCCTAGATAGGTGTCCATCGCTCGGAGGCGGCCCACCAGCACCACACGCCATCCTTCGCTGTGCCACACTACCAGAATCAGGCTCCCTAATGGGGTAATGACCACTTTCAATGCCGTACCACTTTGGCAGTTGCCTGTAAATCAATAACTACAGGCACCTTCAGTTTACAATAAAATGAAGTTCCACCTGATGATAATTTATTAGGCATTTTGTTCATGCAAGGGGTACTCCCTGGATTAAGCATTAAGGTACTCATCCTGTAGGATCCACAAGGAAGGCGCTCACCACCCCTAACATCTCAAAACATACACTGTCTGAGGATATCACAGCCTTGTGTCCTGATAGAACACGTCAAGTGTTGCTCAACTGATTTTTGCCTTGCTATTTGCGGGCATTAAATTTAAAGTGCACGTGTAGCAACACTGCATGGGGAGCACTGTTCATGGCACAGAACAATGCTGACTAGGGACTAGTGTAGCTTCTTTTGTCAATGATTGGTAAACCTGTCCCATATACGAATCAGCCAGGAAAAAATCACCACCTTAAATTTTGGCTCTATGACCAGGCAATATACCCAAAGAGATTAGTGAATAAATGTAAAGAATGGTTATTACAATATAACCTTACTGTTAGTATGTTTTGTGATTTTATGATTTTTTTGTACTTTTTCTTGAAGGAGATGCTGAATAAAGCTACAATACACTTACATACATCCAATAAAATACTATTTTTTGCACGTTTTTTTTTTCTATATTCAGTTTTTCACTAAAGATCATACAAGTAAAGATGGGGGGCACTGACCCCTCAGCAATGATGAAGCAAAATGACAGACACGTAAGGTCACTAGACCAGTCCGAGTGGCAACGGGATTTTTAGATTTTTTTGGCTTTTTAGATTTCTGCGTGTATCTTACCTATCAACGCTAAAATACACGTAGAGGAAAAAAAAAAAGATTAAACAAACTCCTCAGCTATTTCTACTCCTTCACAATATCACTTTTCGGTGGTCAATTAAGTCAGCTTATATTTAAAATACATTTAAATGTAAGACAACCATGCTAAGAAAAAAAAAAAAAGTGTCTTACAAAGAAAAACAGGAACACTTCAGAAGTGTTTGAAGAGGGTAAAATTAATTGATCTAGTGCTCTTAACAAGCTTTGTGCAGTATGAACTTAGGAAGTGATGTTCATCAAGAACAAGGCTACCAACATAATTCAGGAACCTCAACAATGAACAGGACAAGAAATTGCCCTACAGAGCATGCTGTGCCTAGGTATTTGATCCAATATGGCAACATTCAAAAACTGCACATTTAAGAACTGAACAAAATTTAAAACTTTTATGAACATTGATTGTGTTACCTTAATCTCTTGATTAAAACAATTCTTGCTTCACTTGGTGCATTACACAAACTTCAAGACATTATGCAATACGGTTATGTTTCCGGTTAAACTGTGGGTAGGGCAGGAAAGCGGGAGTTTTCTTATGTGGGGATTGGCTGGGTGATTTTCTTGGGGACTTCAGTGAAGCAGCTGGAGTTGGAAGAGGCGGAAACTCTTCATCATAATCATAGTCCATCTCCTCCTCGGATGAAGACAGGTACATCTCCGAGCTTTCGCTATCCATCCTGAGAAAAAAATATTAGAAAAAATTAATCATTAACATTTATAAGCAATGGCCCCGTGCAGCACCGACGTACCACAGTTCACATTTATGTATACTATAAGTATGGGGTGCATAATCAACTGACTAAACGGTATACTATAATTCACAAGCGTGAATATGTATGCACATGTCTGACAGGACTTTCCTACATATTGATACAGCGGCGCAGACATGTTTTTGTCTATTCCATAAAAAGTCAGGGTTATCTTGAGAGGTTATCTTGAGATGATTTCGGGGCTTTAGTGTCCCCGCGGCCCGGTTCTCGACCAGGCCTCCACCCCCAGGAAGCAGCCCGTGACAGCTGACTAACACCCAGGTACCTATTTTACTGCTAGGTAACAGGGGCATAGGGTGAAAGAAACTCTGCCCATTGTTTCTCGCCAGTGCCTGGGATCAAACCCGGGACCACAGGATCACAAGTCCAGCGTGCTGTCCGCTCGGCCGACCGGCTCCCTCGTGTCTTTCACATAATAATGGCACGTTTGTGGATGATAATAGCACCAAGAATTCCACAAGAAATATAATTTTAACAGATTCAGAAAAATGAGTGTCAGAAGTGGAACTAAACATATCAGGCACCCAAAAATTCTAAAAACAGAAAACATGTATTCTCATTACCTGTACATTAATACCACACTCTACTAAGCATAAACAGGCGTGCACAAGACTAACTGAAACCAGGATGTAATACCTCTACGGCAGCATTTCTCAACCTTTGTCCCAGAAATAATTTCAGGTTGCACTTTAGATACACAAAGGATTTCATTGTCAACTGAAAGTAGACCATTTGTCTATTCTTCATACTAGTTAAATGAGAAAAATTAAACAAAAATGACAAATACATTTTCACATGATTAGAATTAGCCTATTTATCACTGTCTTGTGGAACTCCTAGTTACAGTACTTTGGGTTCAGCAGAAGCCCAGTTGAGAAACCCTGCTCTATGGTGTTAGCAATCAACCCAAATCTAATATAATTTTTATAAGTAGAACAAAATTGAAAAGTTAGAAACCCCGACCTTGTTCACCAGCGTTCATGTGTAGAATTGGTAGCCAGGTTAGAAAGGTCCATTACAATATATTGTCAAACTTGTGTATCAGTGTTTTTTTGTTTTTGTTTTTTTAATGGCTGGGAAAGCCAGAGTTATTTTGAGTGACAGCCGATTCATTAGGAGAGGAAGGTGGGGTAGACACAAAAGGCGACAGCTTAGCTTTCTATTCCAAAGAACTTGGAAAAGATGGTGGGAGGAAGAAGGATGAGGAGGCAAAATTCTTTGGAGAGGATCCGGAGAGAGGAGGCCTGAAAGTTGGGTGGCCTATAGGCAACGGTGTTCCAGCTTTATGGATACTCAAGAGGGATGAGAGATGTCAGCAGCAGGCCTGGAAATGACCTGGTGACAAATCTCAGATTTCAAGGATTAGAGAGTAGGATCTGTGCGAGGGTGGAGAGAGGCAAGATAGTACTGTAGTAGTATAAGAAAAGCATGAGATAGTTCAACCAGTTGTGGTCCTAAGTGAGAGGGCTGATTACACTTGGCACAAAAATATGCCATGTAGTCTTAAGTCATGGAGGAGGAGTCAGGCATGAAACTTTTTAGTGGAGTATCTACCAGTACACGTGTTAGCCCAACACTATTACACAACCAGTCGATTGTGGATTTTGTACTTGATAATTTCACTTCCGAAGCATAGTACGGTATATGTTAACTAGCAGTCTTAAGGAAAGTGACAGTGTGCTACTTAAAGTGTCTCACCAGTGGGTGAATAAACAGTGAAAGGTGTAGTACCTTTCCTTACATTTGAAAAAGATTTTCACCCAAGTATACAGCAACCAGGGTGGTGTCAAGATGAAGGGGACATACCCAAGTTGTTAAGACATCAAGTCTTAAGACACCAAGAGCCCAATGGGTAATGTGTTCATCTGGGATGACCTAGACTGATGTTTGACTTCACTATCCTGCTTCAAACATTTTCAGATATCATGCTATTGCAATTTCAGTGTGTAATTTTTTTGTGTGTGTATCAAGTGTTTGCAACTGAGACTATAAGAATTAATCCCAGGTATCAGGATGTGAATGCAGATATTTACCAACTAAAAACCAACTGCAGTGACAACCACAAATCCTAGAAATGTTTCTACATAAAAATATTTAACTGGAATGTCTAGCACATCACTCACCTTGGCCTTATGATAGGAGGATGTGATGGACCCTGCATTTCAACAATAGTTGGAAGTCGCGTAGTGAATTTGTCTGTGGGCCTAAGCTGCCGCAGGGTCCTATTGGAGAGTTTCCAAACCAGACGTTGGCGGTGAGGGGAGTGTCTCTGATTTTCATACTGATCCATTAATTCTGCCACTACCTTCTGGCACTGGTCAAAGGTGTCATAAGTCACCTGAGAAAAAGTAGAAGATATAGATATAAATGTGTTTTATTTTATTATTTATTACATTAATAAAAACCATTTTTATTACAAACAAATTAGATTTTACAAGCACCTGTAATAATAAAATATTTACAAAGTTAACTTATTTGCTATATAACAAAATGGTCAGTGTAAATTACTGTACAATACTTCAGTACCATATTTCATAGAGGTGCAACATTTAAAACTTGTATTTGTTTTTTATAGTAAATGGTTCTTTACCTTGCATATATTTTGCAAATGGTTGATACAGGCATGATGAATGTGTTTGTTAGCATTATCTTGACTGAATTCCAGTGCTAGAAGGGAGAGTGCCAGTTCCGATGGACGAAAAGTGGCAGCAGCCGAATCACACTCTACAATCTCGAGCTTGTGAATGAGGGTAGTGAGGGGAGGTGGTAAGGTGGGGTGCTGGAGGAGTGGGGCAGCCAGGTGGTTATGGGCAGCATAGAGGACGCGTAGTAGTGTCAGGGGTGTTACTGGTGGCTGGCAGCGCAGATCTGTGGCCAGCTTGTCCAGAATGATGCGTTCCATGCGGGTCACATCACCAGACGAGCATTTGCACTGCGAGATGGTGGTCAAATCTCTACTATCAGGAACCACCTGAGGTATATCCCTTAAGTGGCTATACCCCGGGGTAAACTGGCATGACAGATGGAATGCACTCACAGCGATGCAAGACAAATGCTTCGGTTGTGCCTGCAAAAAAATAATACAGTAAATAAATAATGCTCGGATCAATCTTTTGTCAAAGAAATAATTTATAGTGTAATGACTGGTATATGAAGTCTTGCTTTAATTGAAATGTTTCCTTTTACTTTGTTTTATTATTAATTTTTGTTCCATTTATAGGTGTTCGCAAATACAGTACTGTATGTTAACTTGAGCATTAGTAAATGTAGATGCTTCATGTACTCACCTATTTGTGCTTGCGGGGGTTGAGCTTTGGCTCTTTGGTCCCGCCTCTCAACTGTCAATCAACTGGTGTACAGGTTCCTGAGCCTACTAGGCTCTATCATATCTACATTTGAAACTGTGTATGGAGTCAGCCTCCACCACATCACTGCCTAGTGCATTCCATTTACTCTCTCTCCCTCTGTCTGACCCTGTCTGTGTAGGGGGAGGGCTCCCCCACACATTTTAGTAAAGCACCCCACGAAGACAGAGGGTCCTGCCGTGACAGGCTCGGGGTGTGTTGTTGGGTGAGCTGTGAGGTGCCCAACCTCGTTGTGAGGGTGTTTACCTTGCTTTTCTGTGTGACTAGAGTAAAATAGTTGATCTGATGAGTGATATTATTCCCCGTTTTATTTTGTCCCATTCCCCATGTCCTTGAATAAATGTAACACACACACTGGTGGTTAAGTTCCACCAATTCAAAATAGAATGTCAGCCCCCAAGTGTTTAGTTTCGTATTCGAGGCGTTTCTATACTGTAATTTTCAATTGTCTCATATTTCACATTTAAATTAACATACATATATGGCAACGAAGGAAGTAAAGAACGGATTTCTTTAGTTGTACTCCTGTTTATGGCTTAGAAGCTCTTGCTCCTTATAATAGTCCACTTTTATAAATTGTAAATACGATAGTATTAACAAACAAAAAAAAAAAAGCTTAAATTTTACAAAATTGATTGCAAATTATAGCCCAAAATTTTACAATCAACAAGCAAGATTAAAGTACCGTGCTATACAAATATAAGGATTACCTTCATTCGTGTGAGGAAGCGGTCCATGATATTAACTGCGTTGAAGAAGGTGTCTGGTGGGAGGTCATACCACACCTTCAGGCAACGTAGCACATGGGCCGACCCATTTCGCATCCTCATGCTGATCTCGCCACCATCCTGCTGAGATGTTTAAATGCACATTGTAGAAGTAATGTTTAAATGTTTTCTCTTAGTCTTAAAAATAATTAAGCAGTGATTTATTAATTATAAAATAAAGACATTAAATTCTCAATTTGCTACATGTAATTTATTTGGTCAGCAAGATTTTAACTGCACTAATGACAATACTGGATTAGCAATGCAAAAAACTTTCATACTGCTACAGTATGTGCAGAGGTTTATACACCTAAACATATTATGCTTGCACAGTTTACACTTTACTCTTCAATTAATATTTTGCCCTTATTGATACAATAAAATTATAGCAAGTTTTTTATTGTGCACATTTGTGACCAAACCTTCAGGAACATTCCATGTACTCATTATGTTAATAGAACTTAACCCTTAAACCGCGCATATTGGCGGCCCGGAAGTGAAAAATATTCTAATTGAGTAAAAAAAAATTAAAAATGTTAAACACATCTCCAACTTATTGGCTTCAGCATCTTGAAATTTACATCAAAATATTTTCAATTTTTTTTTATAAAAATTTAAAAAACTAAGAACATTTTTGTTGGCAAGAACTATAACAGGAACTGATGGATAATGCAGTAATAAAGAGATGCAAGCACCTGTCCGACGCACAAAGAATAGTAGATAGAAGTGTCCACAAAGTGGACATGCAGCTGGTGCCTTTATAACATTGCCGAGTAATACATAATACAAATAATAATGAGTAACTTATTATGCTCTATTTTGTTATACTGTATATCAAATACATTTTTTCTCCTTTGTTTATTATCTAATTTTGTTGTAAGCTTCACATCCAGGAGAATCCATACCCTTCCCTAACAATGTGAAGACAGAATGAAACTGGTCAACAAATAACCAACTGAAATTCACTATTTTCAACTCCCAAGTCAACTCCCAGAACTTGGGACCAATTTTTTTTTTGCCAAATTTTTTCTCATATTTCAAACTTTTCTTCGTCTCTTTAGGTTGTTTTGATGATTAGGGACCAGATTAGGCCTTTTTCACTTTTATAAAGTATACCCTAAATATATCTCCTAAATCATTATAAATTATAATTATCCCAATATTTTGTTTGGGGGGTTATTTTTTCTTGACTTCATTTCAACACATTGACCTACAACTTTCACATATTTGATTACAAATGCCAAACAATGTTTATTACAACACAGTTAAATTAACGAATTAGAACTACCTTTATTCATTGTCGATAACTTCAATCGTCTCAAACTAGAATTTCAACTTTGAGTGGCTTCTAAAATTCCATTTTTTGACAGATTCTCACCATTTTGACATTGTGTGCTCAGCTGTCTATTCTACAGTCCCTTCAGGATGGATTTTTCATAAACCCTGTACATTTGGAGTTAAAAAAAAATTTGGGGGGGTCTAAATTTGCCGCATATTTCAAATGCCATATTGACGACTTTTTTTACAGCAAACTATACTGAAAGAATAGCAAAACCAAATTAATAATTGGCGATGGTTTATATTTTTGATTTTGATTTGAAAATCGGTGGTGATCAATATTCAATTTTAAAAATTTTTTATTCTCTTGTTTTCAAGTTACGTTGTGATCAGTTGGACAAAGTTGAAGCATTTGCCTAGAAGATTATGCACAAAAAATTGGAAAGCATTTGTGCAAGTTTTAAAAACTTGAGTTATGTCAAATTGTATGTGTTTGTTTAGCGCGGTTTAAGGGTTAAAAGTCCAGCACGAAAAAAAAAAAATCAAGGCAAATGGAAAGGGGGGTGGATGGACCTTTGACAAGCCACTGGTTTCCTATCATCCAGCATACTAATGTGTTAGTGGCTCTCAGGAAAATTCAGGCAAATATTTATGAATACCACAATCTGCTGTACCATGGAGTAGGTTCAAACAGACGTTACAAATACCAAATACTCATCTGTAATCCTTTCTCGATTTGACTTAAAATACATTGATTAAAGGCAACAGTCAAGGGTGGAGGCTATTATATGCAAGTTATACAGATTCCACAAGACTAAATTCGGATATGCATCTTGTACAATCTCTCACAATCTATCCATATCTCCATCCAGCCATAGCCATATTGCCAAATGTTTCTTTTCATCTAAGGTGTGTGTTCACCTAGTAGTAAAGGGTGGCAGAGAAGTTAGGGAATGGTTGGGGGGTGCACCTTGGGGAAGGTCAGTACCTAGTCAAGGAGAACTGAGCCTAATCTCCATCTGCATGCACACGCATGCTGTCATCCCTCCCTGCATGCACATGCTTGCTTGCTTCCTCCCATCCACAAATATTTACATCCATCCATATTATACTATACATCCATCCATACTGTACATCCATCCATACCAACCATCCATCCCGTACATCCATCCATACCAACCATCCATCCCGTACATCCATCCATACCAACCATCCATCCCGTACATCCATCCACCCATCCATACCGTACATCCATCCACCCATCCATACCGTACATCCATCCACCCATCCATACCATACATCCACCCATACAGTACATCCATCCATACCGTACATCCATCCATACCGTACATCCATCCATACCGTACATCCATCCATACCGTACATCCATCCATCCATACCGTACATCCACCCATCCATCCATACCGTACATCCATCCACCCGTCCATACCGTACATCCATCCATACCGTACATCCATCCATCCACCCATACCGTACATCCACCCATCCATCCATACCGTACATCCATCCACCCATCCATACCGTACATCCATCCACCCATCCATACCGTACATCCATCCACCCATCCATACCGTACATCCACCCACCCATCCATACCGCACATTCATCCACCCATCCATACCACACATTCATCCACCCATCCATACCACACATCCATCCACCCATCCATACCGCACATCCATCCACCCATCCATACCGTACATCCATCCATCCATACCGCACACCCATCCACCCATCCATACCGCACATCCATCCAACCATCCATACCGTACATCCATCCATCCACCCATCCGTACCGTACATACATCCACCCATCCATACCGTACATCCATCCACCCATCCATACCATACATCCATCCATACCGTACATCCATCTACCCATCCATCCATACCGTACATCCATCCATCCACCATCCATACCGTACATCCATCTATCCATCTACCCATCCATCCATACCGTACATCCATCCAACCATCTATACCGTACATCCATCTATACCATACATCCATCTACCCATCCATACCGTACATCCATCCATCCATACCGTACGTACATCCATCCATCCATACCGTACGTACATCCATCCATCCATACCGTACGTACATCCATCCATACCGTACGTACATCCACCCATCCATCCATCCATACCGTACATCCATCCATCCATACCGTACAGCCATCCATCCATACAGTACATCCATCCATCCATACAGTACATCCCGAACATCCATCCATCCATACTGTACATACTGCACATCCCACACTGCACATCCCATCCATATGTACACATTGCACATCCCATCCATATGTACACATTGCACATCCCATCCATATGTACACATTGCACATCCCATCCATATGTACACATTGCACATCCCATCCATATGTACACATTGCACATCCCATCCATACATACACATCCATTATATATACTGCATTATACAATTCAACAATAATAATGAGTCGGAGGGACAGTTAGCCAGAGTATTTTTTTTTTTTTTTGAGATATATACAAGAGTTGTTACATTCTTGTACAGCCACTAGTACGCGTAGCGTTTCGGGCAAGTCCTTAATCCTATGGTCCCTGGAATACGATCCCCTGCCGCGAAGAATCGTTTTTTCATCCAAGTACACATTTTACTGTTGCGTTAAACAGAGGCTACAGTTAAGGAATTCCGCCCAGTAAATCCTCCCCGGCCAGGATACGAACCCATGACATAGCGCTCGCGGAACGCCAGGCGAGTGTCTTACCACTGCACCACGGAGACTGCTCCATCCATCCATACCGTACGTACATCCATCCATACCGTACATCCATCCATCCATACCGTACAGCCATCCATCCATACAGTACATCCATCCATCCATACAGTACATCCATCCATACCGTCCATCCCGAACATCCATCCATCCATACTGTACATACTGCACATCCCACACTGCACATGATGGCCATCATGCTATATTGCTATATTTACACACATTAGGCTTGTATCAAGGCTAAGGTCGAATTATTATACCCTCCCCCCCCCCTCCCCTCGATGGAATAATACAACAAACTGACTAATTCCTAAGTACCTATTTACTGCTAGATTAACAGAGGCATTAGGTGATAGGAAATGCGCCCAACCATTTCTGTCCAGCCCGGGGATTCGAACCCGGAATTCTGTTGAGTCAAGAATGAAGCCGCCTGTACTACCGGGATGCTATCCATACATGTATCCCGTATAGATCCATTCATACATATACACACACACACAAATGCAGACAACAAGTGCCACTCTCGTGGCTGGAAGTGCAATCTCACCACTTAAAACATACTATAATACCTTCAGCAATAGTTACTTGTGTAAAGGAGGAAATGTACATGTTTCTCTCTCAGAATGCTCGGTAATATGTTTATTGTTTGTGATGTGTGTATTAACATGATGTACTGAACGAGGTGAGAATAGCTTGAGCTACCTCATCCCTTTGTGTGTATTTGACCTCAATAAACTTGTTTCAATTTCAATTCAGCCATAGTCATTTATTGAGTATTGAGGCAGCGTCATTATCCTTACTGCCTCTTCACAACTACGCCAGGGCCTCAAATCACATCAATATCCACCATCACAAACACACCTCGGCTAGTTTCCAGAATGTTCCAGAGAAGGATCGTAAAAACCTGTCCTTGTCCTCAATATTCAAATGTATTTACAAATGGTGTTAGAACAAGGCTCTAAAAATATCAGACTACGTCACTGGGCGGGGCGAGTGTACAGTTGGCAGCCCTGACAAGATGGTAATCCAGGTCCCCACGGGACAACAACTCTTCTCTAATGTAACTACCTTCTCTGCCTACATTCTAAGCCTGCAGGCATAGAAGGCAAGGACTAGGGTTTAGGAACTATGCTTGGAAATACTGCTAAATTACTATGGTTGAGCAGGAATGGAGGAACATTGTGAGAGGAAGGACGGAGGGGAGGGGGGGAGGGAGGGACGAGTAAGCGCATCAACTGTAGCTTATCAATTTTTGCAATGATTATTTCACATTACAGAATGAGTGCTGTAACTATAAAACATTACGTTATTCAAACGAGGCGAGACATCGCGACAGGATCGATCAGAACCATGACAAAGGCGGCGAGGAGGAGAGAAGCCATAGATAAGGGCCCTGCGCACCGCTGGTAACCCAGGCCCTCCCTCCCTTTAATTTTAAAAAGTACCCAAGATTTCGACCCTGAACTATAATGTGTTCTGTAATACAAGAATCTATACAAACTGTTATATACCAAGTAGCCAAGTATTATCACAGTACAAGGCAGACGCCCCTCGACATGACTGTTGCTGTGGCTGACGCAATCACCACCAATGTCTCAACTCACTACTACTAACTCATCTCTCAACCTTACCAAATTATAAACGCCCACAATTTTTTAAGATTTTCTTCGCCTTGACTCGGAGCCTCTGAGTGGGAGGATACTGTCTAGAGTAATTTTGATTACATCGCAAACAAAGCATTTGAACACTTGTCTGCAATGGCCAAGGTTGCTACTCGTCCATCACACGCATGCCTGGAGCATACCTGCAAGGCGTTTCATTTTCAATGCAATTCCAACTCCGAGCCCGGCCTGAGGCCAGCGAGATATAATGGGAGGTGTAGCTACACCTTTGGGTAATTAAATAGCAGATACAAAGCCCTCCTTCCTATCTCCCGGGACAATTCCTAAGCTTCTACACCTCAATTTCCAGAACAATTGACGTATTAGTGAGGCCGTTGGAGTTCCCACTTCCGGCCCTGTAAGCCAGGATGACCACCTAGTGTTGACCTCGACTCCAGAACTCAGAAAAGCTCCTCCAGAATTTATTGACCGCTACAAATGTCATTTGGCGTAATGTGTGTGTGTGTGGGGCCCGTGTTAAGGGGCGTCCTCCCCGCCCTAGTGACCAGTATTGCCTGTGTATTGCCTGTGTATTACCTGTGTATTACCTGTGTATTGCCTGTGTATTGCCTGTGTATTGCCTGTGTATTGCCTGTGTATTACCTGTGTGTTTCCTGTGTGTTTCCTGTGTTTTTCCTGTGTGTGACCTGCCTGAAGCACTCAAGCCAGGGTCGAGTGGGTGTACTGACCTTGGCAGTGTGCGGGAGTGCCAAGGAGGGCTGGTACTTGGGCTCGAGGGCCAGGGCCTCCAGGAGGGGTGACAGCAGGTCCTGTCCCCTGTCCATGACGGCAGGAGAGTGTACACTCGCCATCTGCCCCACCACCACCAGCTGGCTCTACCACCACCCGCGCCACACAGCTGCACCACCTGTACCAAAAAAAAATAATTACATCACTATACCTCATCATCACATCACCAAATATCATCATTCTCCCTCACAATATCATCCACCATAAAGTGTATATAGATGCTCCAGCCTCACAATTGCATATATATATATATATATATATATATATATATATATATATATATATATATATATATATTTATATATATATATATATCAGCCTCCACTATAAGCCCAAATACAACACAAACTATCTACAGCAAGACGGGGGCTCGAACCCTGGAAACATTACAGAATGTCTTACAAGATTGAAGATTGAAAAAGTCGATATATTCATTAAAAGGCGAGAGTTAAGAGAGACAAAGAGTGGTGGTGGCCAAGACCTACCTGCCAAATGTTTACTAGTTACTGCATCTTGTCGTGTTGTTTGATCTGGCTTAACAAAGAGGGAAATAAAGGAATTCGTTGCCAGAGACACGGAGCTCCGTCGACGGCATAGAGACAAAAGACTAATGCACACAAAAAAAATCAACTCGATTTATAATGCTCCTTTCGAGTGGCCTCTCATGGCACAAAGGAGAGGTCTAGATATGTTGTTTCATGAGAGATCTAGAGGCGTTCGGCCTTCCAATATCACAGACAAAAATTTGTACACTACGAGATCTGGGCTCGCGTCCTTCCCCCTCCGAGTCTTTGTTTACACTGAGCGTCGACGGCCTGGGCCGCCGCCTGGGCCGGCCGCCGCGCTCCCCCACCCAACACCCTCCGCGCACCCAACAAGTTCCTCCCAATAACCCCACTCTTCTCCTCAACTCTTACGCTTTATATACTAATATACCAACGAAAATGACTCAAATTCAGTGGACGTCCGCACACTTGGCGTGGAACTAATCGTTCGAGCAAGTCAAGAAGCTTTTCTGGAAATGCTTTGTTGGCCAGCAAAGTGCTATTGGCGTTTTAAAGGTTGGGTGTCGCTGGCGGAGACCAGACCTGCCGTCTCTCACACACACACACGTAAACACACGCACGCACACACGCACACACACATATACACACGTAAACACACACACACACACGTAAACAGGTGTACAGATTCCTGAGCCCAATAGGCTCAGGAATCTGTACACCTGCTGATTGACGGTTGAGAGGCGGGACCAAAGAGCCAAAGCTCAACCCCCTCGCAAGCACAACTAGGTGAGTACACACTCACACTCCCCACTATAAAGGCCACCCTCACACAGCGACCATAACAATTATTACTGGAGAGGAGGTAAATAGGTCCCCCAGAGTCAGTCTTCAACCACAGTCACATCTGCTCCAGGGCCGTGTACGTGACGCCCCACACCCCACTCCCAGTATTTACCACACACCCATTGTAACGTACATAATACACAAATATACATACATATATACATACATTACACACACATGTAATATACATATATAAACCAGGCATAACATATTGGACATATACAGATAATAACGTGCCTAAAAGAAATAATCAAACGATGCTAGATGACAGAATTCCCCTTTAAATATCATTACCATTCACTCTGTGTCATTACAATGTAGGTGATCTGCCGTGCTGAATACAACTTATGGAAAATGAATGAGAAATGTGGAGTATTTGCATAATGTTATCAACCAACATGGTCGCTTCTGCTCCACACACAGAGAAGACAGGAGTAAACATGCCAATATAATGTTAATTACCTCACATAACTAGTATCATTGAAGCCCTTTCAGCTTGACGCTTAACGAGCCCCAATGTTGGACCCGTAGGGCAATTAACCCACCAAATCCTTCACCTTTGGAAGCCATAAATGCCAAGACATTACTTCAGTATAAAATCCAACTGGAAAAATTACTCAGGAACAATGAGTGACCTTAGACAAGCCGCCGGCTTTCTGTTCTCGTCGTAGCCACTAGAGATCGTGGCCCTCGGGTAAATGTAAACAATTTGTATGGTGATACAGATCCCTTGGTGAAAGGCATGGGAAGGGTGGCCCAGGCATGGGGGAGGGTGGCCCAGGCATAGGGAGGGTGGCCCAGGCATGGAGAGGGTGAGCCAGGCATTGGGGAGGGTGGGCCAGGCATTGGGGAGGGTGGGCCAGGCATTGGAAGGGTGGCCCAGGCATGGGGAGGGTGGCCCAGGCATGGGGAGGATGGGCCACGCATAGGGAGGGTGGCCCAGGCATGGGGAGGGTGGCCCAGGCATGGGGAGGATGGCCCAAGCGTGGGTAGGGTGACCCAGGCATGGGGAGGGTGACCCAGGCATGGGGAGGGTGGCCCAGGCATGGGGGAGGGTGGCCCAGGCATGGGGGAGGGTGGCCCAGGCATGGGGGAGGGTGGCCCAGGCATGGGGAGGGTGGCCCAGGCATGGGGAGGGTGGCCCAGGCATGGGGGAGGGTGGCCCAGGCTTGGGGAGGGTGACCCAGGCATGGGGAGGGTGGCCCAGGCATGGGGAGGATGGCCCAAGCATGGGGAGGGTGACCCAGGCATGGGGAGGGTGGCCCAGGCATGGGGAGGGTGGCCCAGGCACGGGGAGGGTGGCCCAGGCACGGGGAGGGTGGCCCAGGCATGGGGAGGGTGGCCCAGGCATGGGGGAGGGTGGCCCAGGCATGGGGAGGGTGGCCCAGGCATGGGGGAGGGTGGCCCAGGCATGGAGGAGGGTGGCCCAGGCATGGAGGAGGGTGGGCCAGGCATGGAGGAGGGTGGGCCAGGCATGGGGGAGGGTGGCCCAGGCATGGAGGAGGGTGGGCCAGGCATGGGGGAGGGTGGGCCAGGCATGGGGGAGGGTGGCCCAGGCATGGAGGAGGATGGGCCAGGCATGGGGGAGGGTGGCCCAGGCATGGAGGAGGGTGGGCCAGGCATGGGGGAGGGTGGCCCAGGCATGGGGGAGGGTGGCCCAGGCATGGAGGAGGGTGGGCCAGGCATGGGGGAGGGTGGCCCAGGCATGGGGGAGGGTGGCCCAGGCATGGGGGAGGGTGGGCCAGGCATGGGGAGGGTGGCCCAGGCATGGGGAGGGTGGCCCAGGCATGGGGGAGGGTGGGCCAGGCATGGGGGAGGGTGGGCCAGGCATGGGGGAGGGTGGGCCAGGCATGGGGGAGGGTGGGCCAGGCATGGGGGAGGGTGGGCCAGGCATGGGGAGGGTGGGCCAGGCATGGGGAGGGTGGGCCAGGCATGGGGGAGGGTGGGCCAGGCATGGGGGAGGGTGGGCCAGGCATGGGGGAGGGTGGGCCAGGCATGGTGGAGGGTGGCCCAGGCATGGGGAGGGTGGCCCAGGCATGGGGGAGGGTGGGCCAGGCATGGGGAGGGTGGCCCAGGCATGGGGGAGGGTGGGCCAGGCATGGGGGAGGGTGGCCCAGGCATGGGGGAGGGTGGGCCAGGCATGGGGGAGGGTGGGCCAGGCATGGGGGAGGGTGGGCCAGGCATGGGGAGGGTGGCCCAGGCATGGGGGAGGGTGGCCCACGCATGGGGGAGGGTGGGCCAGGCATGGGGGAGGGTGGGCCAGGCATGAGGGAGGGTGGCCCAGGCATGGGGGAGGGTGGCCCAGGCATGGGGGAGGGTGGGCCAGGCATGGGGGAGGGTGGCCCAGGCATGGGGGAGGGTGGCCCAGGCATGGGGGAGGGTGGGCCAGGCATGGGGGAGGGTGGGCCAGGCATGGGGGAGGGTGGGCCAGGCATGGGGGAGGGTGGGCCAGGGAACCCACTATCTCCACCTGGTGGCACTTCCCATACACTTATCTTACCCCAAGATAACAAAACTCACCTATACTAACTGGAGGGAATAAGTAAGGTATAAGAGCTGAAGAAACTCTCTCTCTCTCTACCTCATGTCTGCTGCCCTACACCTTAGCCTCTAGTACCCTTACTCTCGGAGAAGAGAATAAATGACATCCCTGTGATCCATTTTAGACCCAGGGAATGAGCCCTTCACTCGAGTCATGTTTTATCACCGCAAATCACGCCAGTGTTCTATGCTAGACAAGCTATACAGAAGTAGTATTGCGTATGAATGTTTGTATATTTGCTTATTCGTCACAGGATAGTTGCATGGGAAGGAAGGTGCGTGATTCAAGGAAGGTGACCCAGGTGTAGTGGGCAAGTTGCCCGCTAGAGAGCAGGGACCCCCACCCAGGTATTTCACAAGTCAACCCATTCTTGCGTACGAGGAGATAGCAAGACTTACAGCCCTCATGATTGTGACTTGGAATGAGTGATTCATATTAGTTATAGATAACCATAGGTGAGTACACACACACACACACACACACACACACACACACACACACACACACACACACACACACACACACACACACACACACACACACACACCATTCAACACTGGTGGGACGCGAACAAGGGGACACAGGTGGAAACTGAGTACCCACATGAGCCACAGGGACATTAGAAAGAACTTTTTCAGTGTCAGAGTAGTTAGTAAATGGAATGCATTAGGCAGTGATGTGGTGGAGGCTGACTCCATACACAGTTTCAAGTGTAGATATGATAGAGCCCAATAGGCTCAGGAACCTGTACACCAGTTGATTGACAGTTGAGAGGCGGGACCTTAGAGCCAAAGCTCAGCCCCCGCAAGCACAAATAGGCGAGTACACACACACACACACACACACACACACACACACACACACACACACACACACACACACACACACACACACACACACACACACACACACACACCACGCTGGGAAGGTGCGCCATGATAGGCTTCACATTAACCTAGGTATGTTTTGATGACGCGATCAAGAGAGGCAGGCAGAGAGGGACACACTCAGCACATGACGTAAACATGTGTTGTCTGCACAACACCAGGTGCACCACCTTCCTCAACCACACTAACCCACACACCACCAGGTGCACCACCTTCCTCAACCACACTAACCCACACAACACCAGGTGCACCACCTTCCTCAACCACACTAACCCACACAACACCTGCTGCACCACCTTCCTCAACCACACTAACCCACACAACACCTGCTGCACCACCTTCCTCAACCACACTAACCCACACAACACCAGGTGCACCACCTTCCTCAACCACACTAACCCACACAACACCTGCTGCACCACCTTCCTCAACCACACTAACCCACACAACACCAGGTGCACCACCTTCCTCAACCACACTAACCCACACACCTGCTGCACCAACTTATCAGTCTCCATGGGAGTTTTTTCAATGACGTGATGAGTCGTGCTGTGGTAGCCGGAAGTACAGGGGGTGGGGGTGAGAAATGAGGGGGTGGGGGTGAGAAATGAGGGGGGTGGGGGTGAGAAATGAGGGGGTGGGGGTGAGAAATGAGGGGGGTGGGGGTGAGAAATGAGGGGGTGGGGGTGAGAAATGATGGGGGTAAGAAATGAGGGGGTGGGGGTGAGAAATTAGGGGGTGGGGGTGAGAAATGAGGGGGTGGGGGTGAGAAATGAGGGGGGTGGGGGTGAGAAATGAGGGGGTGGGGGTGAGAAATGATGGGGGTGGGGGTGAGAAATGAGGGGGTGGGGGTGAGAAATGAGGGGGTGGGGGTGAGAAATGATGGGGGTGGGGGTGAGAAATGAGAGGGTGGGGGTGAGAAATGATGGGGGTGGGGGTGAGAAATGAGGGGGTGGGGGTGAGAAATGAGGGGGTGGGGTGAGAAATGATGGGGGGTGTGCGAGGAACGTTGCTGTAGCTTTAGAGTTAGCTACTAAGAACGAAATGTGCATGTAGCACGGGCTATGGCGAGCCCGTAATACTTGCGAGGGAGGAAAAGCACTACAATAAATGTCAACAAAGTGAGGTGAAGCGGAGTTAATAAAAGCAGTCCAGGGTAAACTGTAAAGAAAGGTAAACTAATGTGATATATGTCGAGGTAAACTCGTACAAGAACTATGGGAGAGCGCAATAGGCTTACTGCCGCGCCATACCAGTTTTCTCCAATTTAACCCCCCCTCCTCCCCCCTTCCTCCATACCCCCCACCCCCTCCCCCCCTTCCTCCATACCCCCCACCCCCTCCCCCCCTCCCCCATTATCTCACGGTCATTTTCCTGTCAAATCCTGAAACCAGTTTAAGCAATTGTGTTAATAATAAACTGGCAGTCGACGCCACTGCCCCGCGCCCTCTGGGGCCAGATTCACGAAAGTACTTACGAACGTGTACATCTTTCCTCAATCTTTGACGGCTTTGGTTACACTTATTAAACAGTTTACAAGCATGAAAACTTCCCATTCAACTGTTGTTATTGTTATAAACAGCCTCCTGGTGCTTCGGAGTTCATTAACTGTTTAATAATTGTAAACAAAGCCGCCAAAGATTGAGAAAAGATGTACAGGTTCGTAAGTGCTTTCGTGAATCTGGCCCCATCTGACTGCGTAGTTTAGCGACGTAGTGTAGTTAAATCCTAGTGTAGGAAACATGCCATAAGACTACACTCTAGTTAGTCTCACTCACCTTAACACAAATTGGTCACGTCTGCGGCAGTTAGCGGAGCATCGTTAGCGGGCTTAGATAACACGACATTACATGTTCACTCAGGGTATGATAACACCGTTACTCATTGTGCGTCAGGTAACGCACAGGGCTGCCAACTGTCAACTCACAGCTCATGATAACCTCATCAAGTTGACCTCTTTCACAAAGTGCAGTATTTATGTACCGTATTTAATGATGGACACTGTAACACAGCAGGGCTTCTTATAGGGCTTGAGTGCCACACAGACGAGTGCCTCAGAGACGAGTGCCACAGAGACGAGTGCCACAGACGAGTGCCACAGACGAGTGCCACACAGACGAGTGCCACACAGACGAGTGCCTCAGAGACGAGTGCCCCAGAGACGAGTGCCACAGACGAGTGCGTGCTTCTAAGCGTGCAGGAGAGGGTGCACTCAGCGGACGCCGTCAAGGATAACTGACTCGGTGTTCAAGATACACCCAACAGCTCAGCGCGTGCCTGTGTCCTCACCTAATTGTGCTTGCGAGGGATTGAGCTCTGGCTCTTTGGTCCCGCCTCTCAACTGTCAATCAACTGGTGTACAGGTTCCTGAGCCTATAAGGCTTCTATCACATCTACATTTGAAACTGTGTATGGCGTCAGCCTGCCTGCCTGTGTGTGTGTGTCACAGGTGACCTTGAGGGACGCCGTGTGCACCCTGCTGCCATTTAGACGTTAACTGAGGCCACTGGTGGTGCCACCATAGTTCCCGGGGCCAGACTCGTGTAGCAGGACCCCAGGGGACCCCAGGAGGACCCAGGGGGCCTTAGGGGATGCCAGGAGGACCCAAGGGGACGCCAGGAGGACCTCAGGGGACCCCAGGAGGACCCAAGAGGACGCCAGGAGGACCCAAGGGGACGCCAGGGGACCCTAGGACCCTAGGGGACGCCAGCAGGACCACAGGGGACCCTAGGAAGACCTCAGGTGACGCCAGTAGGACCCCAGGGGACGCCAGGACCCCAGGTGACGCCAGGAGGACCAGGGGACGCCAGCAGAACCACAGGGGACCCCAGGAGGACCCCAGGTGACGCCAGGAGGACCCCAGGGGACGCCAGGACCCCAGGGGACGCCAGGAGGACCCCAGGGGACGCCAGGAGGACCCCAGGGGACGCCAGGAAGACCCCAGGGGACGCCAGGAGGACCCCAGGGGACGCCAGGAGGACCCCAGGGGACGCCAGGAGGACCCCAGGGGACGCCAGAAGGACCCCAGGGGACGCCAGGACCCCAGGGGACGCCAGGAGGACCACAGGGGACGCCAGGAGGACCCCAGGGGACGCCTGGAGGACCCCAGGGAACGCCAGGAGGACCCCAGGTGACCCCAGGAGGACCCAGGGGGACCTTAGGGGATGCCAGGAGGACCCCAGGGGACGCCAGGAAGACCCCAGGGGACGCCAGGAGGACCCCAGGGGACGCCAGGACCCCAGGGGACGCCAGGAAGACCACAGGGGACGCCAGGAGGACCCCAGGGGACGCCAGGAGGACCCCAGGGGACGCCAGGAGGACCCCAGGGGACGCCAGGAAGACCCCAGGGGACGCCAGGAGGACCCCAGGGGACGCCAGGAGGACCACAGGGGACGCCAGGAGGACCACAGGGGACGCCAGGAGGACCCCAGGGGACGCCAGGAGGACCCCAGGGGACGCCAGGAGGACCCCAGGGGACGCCAGGAGGACCCCAGGGGACGCCAGGAGGACCCCAGGGGACGCCAGGAGGACCCCAGGGGACGCCAGGAGGACCCCAGGGGACGCCAGGAGGACCCCAGGGGACGCCAGGAGGACCCCAGGGGACGCCAGGAGGACCCCAGGGGACGCCAAGAGGACCCCAGGGGACGCCAGGACCCCAGGGGACCCCAGGAGGACCCCATGGGACGCCAGGAGGACCACAGGGGACCCTAGGACCCCAGGGGACGCCAGGAGGACCCCATGTGACACCAGGAGGACCCCAGGGGACCCTAGAACCCCAGGGGACGCCAGGAGGACCCCAGGGGACGCCAGGAGGACCCCAGGGGACGCTAGGACCCCAGGGAACGCCAGGAGGACCCCATGGGACGCCAGGAGGACCCCAGGGGACGCCAGGAATACCCCAGGGGACGCCAGGAAGACCCCAGGGGACGCTAGGAGGACCCCAGGGGGCGCTAAGAAGACCCCAGGGGACGCTAGGAGGACCCCAGGGGACGCCAGGAAGACCCCAGGGGACGCCAGGAGTACCCCAGGGGACGCCAGGAAGACCCCAGGGGACGCCAGGAGGACCCCAGGGGACGCCAGGAGTACCCCAGGGGACGCCAGGAAGACCCCAGGGGACGCCAGGAGGACCCCAGTGGACGCCAGGAGGACCCTAGGGGACGCCAAGACTCCAGGGGACGCCAGGAGGACCCCAGGGGGTGCCAAGACCCCAGGGGACGCCAGGAGGACCCCAGGGGACCCCAAGACCCCAGGGGACGCCAGGAGGACCCCAGTGGACGCCAGGAGGACCCTAGGGGACGCCAAGACTCCAGGGGACGCCAGGAGGACCCCAGGGGGTGCCAAGACCCCAGGGGACGCCAGGAGGACCCCAGGGGACCCCAAGACCCCAGGGGACGCCAGGAGGACCACAGGAGGACCCCAGAGGACGCCAAGACGACCCCAGGCGACCCTAGGGGACGCCAGGACCCCAGGGGACCCCAGGGGACGCCAGGGGACCCCAGGAGGACGCCAGGAGGACCCCAGGGGACGCCAGGAGGACCCCAGGGGACGCCAGGATGACCCCTGGGGACGGCAGGAGACGCCAGGAGGACCCCAGGGGACCCTAGGGGACGCCAGGAGACGCCAGGGGACGCCAGGAGGACCCCAGGGGACACCAGGAGGACCCCAGCTGACGCCAGGAGAACCCAGGGGACCCCAGGAGGACCCCAGGGGACGCCAAGGGACCCCAGGGGACTTTAGGGGACGCCAGGAGGACCCCAGGGGATGTGAGACCAGGACAAGGGGACACAAGGAGTGGGACCAGGACTAGGGGACACATGGAGTGGGACCAGGACTAGGGGACACATGGAGTGAGACCAGGACTAGGGGACACAAGGAGTGAGACCAGGACTAGGGGACACATGGAGTGGGACCAGGACTAGGGGACACATGGAGTGGGACCAGGACTAGGGGACACATGGAGTGAGACCAGGACTAGGGGACACATGGAGTGGGACCAGGACTAGGGGACACATGGAGTGGGACCAGGACTAGGGGACACATGGAGTGGGACCAGGACTAGGGGACACATGGAGTGGGACCAGGACTAGGGGACACATGGAGTGGGACCAGGACTAGGGGACACATGGAGTGGGACCAGGACTAGGGGACACATGGAGTGGGACCAGGACTAGGGGACACATGGAGTGGGACCAGGACTAGGGGACACATGGAGTGGGACCAGGACTAGGGGACACATGGAGTGGGACCAGGACTAGGGGACACATGGAGTGGGACCAGGACTACGGGACACATGGAGTGGGACCAGGACTAGGGGACACATGGAGTGGGACCAGGACAAGAAGACACATGGAGTGGGACCAGGACAAGAAGACACATGGAGTGGGACCAGGACTAGGGGACACATGGAGTGGGACCAGGACAAGAAGACACATGGAGTGGGACCAGGACAAGAAGACACATGGAGTGGGACCAGGACAAGAAGACACATGGAGTGGGACCAGGACAAGAAGACACATGGAGTGGGACCAGGACAAGAAGACACATGGAGTGGGACCAGGACAAGAAGACACATGGAGTGGGACCAGGACAAGAAGACACATGGAGTGGGACCAGGACAAGAAGACACATGGAGTGGGACCAGGACAAGAAGACACACATGTTGGAAATTTCCAACAGTTATTTTCATCCCTAATACAATACGATGTATTTCCTGTATTAGGCTTCATGATCATTTAATACTCATTTAGCAATCCTTATTACAATGGGATGTATTTCCTGTATTAAGCATCATAATTAACTAACATTACTAATCCATAGTTTAGTATCACAGAATTCATTGTATTAGGTTGTGGAACATCATGTAATTTCTCCTAGAATTGTGGCCGTGTTGCGTCAGTCACCCACAGAGAATAAATTTTCACATATCTGTAGATCTAATAGAAGTCCAACCATTTACTTTCCTTTACTAAGGATAATTATTTATTAATAGGTTTACTTTATTTAATATACTACAGTTTACTGGAGTTTATTTACCCAGCTAGATAGCTGTTCTAATATCATAATCTAAAATAATTTTCACCTCCAAAGATTTTTGTTTTATTTGTGCAGTCTACATTAAGTGACTAGCACTACGAAAATCTCTATTATCACATAATGCATTTATATATGACGTAAATATTCGTCATAAACATTTCCTTCCCTATTTAGAATTTAATGAATCAATATAATTTATGCTCGGGCCCCCTACTGGGAACTATCGCGCATGCGCGCCCCCGAGAGGGAAGGAGGAGACTCGCGCCATATTAGATTCACTGGCAGCAATTAAGGTTTTCTCAAACTTTCTTTTTAATTCTCACAATCCTGCAAGCATCCATACATCATCGGGCTTCAGATTGAGGACGCAGCTTACCAGAATCACGAACGTGCCAAAGTACGATTCAGAAAAGTGTACTTACGAAGATTTCAAGCAGTTCACCCAGGTCTCGGTAGATGTCACTAGGGTTTTTCGTTTGGCCAGTCAGAGAGCAGGCAACATTCTTCATCTTAAAGATTTTAGCCAATCACGACACTGGCTTATCGGAGCTCACTTGCCATCTATATACGTCAAATTTTCTTATAAAATTAGTATATTTCGAAGTAAAACTATGTATTTTTTCAACTTCTTCAGTCAGCACCGACATTGTTGTAAAGAAATATGTTACAATTGTTACAATTTTTATTTACCTATGTAATTCTAAGAGATATTGTGTAGCTTTCCTTGTCGCGCGGGAGATTGAGGAACTGTGCTGACAATTATTGTATATATTTACCTGAATTTACCCAAGGGCCACTAATTATCTAGTGGCCTCGACGAGGACAGAAAGCCGGCGGCTTGTTCAGAGTCCCGCAATTGGCCTCATTATATTTTCTAGCTGGATTTTGTCATTTACGGCTTCAGCGGGTAGGCGGTTCCATGGGTTTATAACCCTCTAGGTAAAAAAAAAAAAATCTATTTTCAGTCCTACTTGAGAGGACATACTCTCCAACACTATATCTGTGATTGCCCTGTTATCAGTGACTTCATACCCAATGGTGTGAGGTACTTTGAGCTCTATAATTACTTCATACACTCAGGAATATTGGAAGATATTCTTGTGCTATACCCAGATTTTGCCAGTGGAGGCTAATAGATCAGCCTTATATTTCTTATTCTCTCCTGGTGCCATGTATGACTGGCCTTCCTGTGAGGTGAGGATGTTG